AGAGAGAGAGAGAGAGAGAGAGAGAGAGAGAGAGAGAGAGAGAGAGAGAGAGAGTTCCCACCTTTGCCTGGACCATGTGAGCGTTGTCCTTGGTGATCTGTTTCTCGCTGGCAGCAGGGACCAGGATGTCACACTTCTCAAACAACAAGTTGCCGTCGTAGGACTCAGCGCCGGGGAAACCAACAATTGTGCCATTTTCCTGAAGACCAGACGGAATAATATACAGCTATGAATAACTGGCCAAACAGATGCACACTAAAAAGATATGGTTTTTTAAGTTCCAGTAAGTGTTTTACTGCATTTGCAACACAAGTAGGTTTTATATGTGCTGAAGATAAGGTGTTATGAAAGAGTAACATTCACAAAAAACGCTGACAAAATGCTATTTTTTCTCGAAACAACTGAATTTTTTAAAAAAGGCATTTTGTCAGCCGATGGCATCCCGCAGAAAGATGGACACATTTTAAAAAATTCCTCCCAAGCAAGAATCAAACTCGTGTCCTCTTAGTTTTTAGTTTTAGTAAGAGTTTTACTGCACTTGCAACACAATCAGGTCATATAAGTGTCGAAGATTAGAGGTGTGTTACAAGAAAGTAACAAACACAAAAAAGAAGGAGGGGATATAAAGATGATAGATGTTTGATAGGAAAGAAGAAGCAAACCACACCAGAGCACAAGCTCTCATTCATGTTCTCTGCATATGGAAGTGAAGTGCCACATCACTACACCGCAGACATTGCTTTCCCCTTCTCTTTTAGAGAAAAACAAAAAGAACTGAGCTTACAATCTTGTAGTCCTCGAGTTCTCTGGGGTTGATGCCATCCTTGTTGTAGATGCTGCCGTCATACTCCATGATACCGATACACTTGGCGCCCGCGCGGTGAAGGTACCTCATGCTGTGCAGCCCCACGTTACCGAAACCCTGGAATGGAGGGGGAAGTCATTGTTTTAGTAAAGAGAAATATATCAACACCATAATAGTATTATAATAGTCATTGGGTGCAAGGTTAGTTAGTTCTAGTAAGTGTTTTACGGCACTTGCAACACAAGGTCATATAAGCACCGAATATTAGAGGTGTTACAAGGGAGTAACAAACACAAAATAGAAGGAGGGGAGATTAAGACGATAGATGTTTGATAGGAAAGAAGGAGCAAACCATTGGGTACAAGGAGAAAGTAAGAGACAGTTTAGTTTAGTAGTAAGAGTTTTTCGGCACTCGCAACTGCATAATGTCATATGAGCGCCAGAAGATTAGAGGTGTTACAGGAAAGTAACAAACATAAAAAAGAAGAAGGAGAGATAAGGACGATAGATGTTTGATAGGAAAGAAGGAGCAAACCACACCAGAGCACCCGCCAACCACCCACAAGTAAGAGACAGACAGAAACAAAAGAGGAGAAGTAAAGTTACTTACAACACAAATAGGCCATTTAAGTGCCAGAGACTTCAAGAGAGTATCACAAACAAAACAAAAAAAAACAACCAAAAAAGAAAAGGAGAGATAGGGATGAAAGATGATGTATGATATGAAAGTAGGACAAGTTGAGTTGACGAAAGCGAAGCACATTAACACAGTAACAGCCATTGAGTGCAAGGGAAAAGTAAGACAGACAGAAGAGAAACAACAGAGGGAAAGAACAGACGTCGGGCTACAAGCAACGCCTTCCAACCACCCACATGTTTGAGTTGAACTGAAGCACATCCACATGATGATTCAGTTGGAGTAAATTCAAGTACACAGAGGCACATTGACACAATACATACTGACTATTTACAGGTAGTTTTAGTTTTAGTTTTAGTAAGAGTTTTACGGCACTTGCAACACTATAAGGTCATATGAGTGCCGAAGAATAGATGTGTTACAAGAGAGTAACAAGCACAAAAAAGAAGGAGGAGAGATAATAACGATAGATGTTTGATAGGAAAGAAGAAGCAAACCACACTAGAGCACCCACCAACCACCCACATTTACAGGTAGGAAAGAGGAATAAAACCCACACTCACAAATTACAGCAACAGATTAATTCTGACAGACACAGCCAGGGAGTGACAGCCACACTGACTAAAGGATCATTTTTACTCACTGAGGCAGATGGAAGGGCGAGGGCCGGGGG